GTCTTTCGATTGGGAGTGGCCTTCAAAGGGCATTTGGCCACACTGGATCTGCGAAGCGGCACATAACTCTTTTCTAATCTGTCCAGGGATGCCAGATTGTGATATAGAATTCCTAAGCAAAAGTTTAACAACAGTTTTGGCATCTGCCTTTTTACAAGAAAATCCATTACTAAAACTAACACATTTACAATGATAACATTTAAACATTTGAATTAAATCAATTTGAATATTTATAAAAGATCCCCAGAGAGGGGAAAGTGCTGCCTGCCTAACATTATGTTGCTGGCAGTAGTGCTGGGCCACAGAGGAAAAGTCTTATTCAACTGCAGCAATCAACCCCCCCTTTGCTCACACGGTGATGCACGCGAGCAAATAGGGCCAGAGCACCTGAGGCACAACCGTCCGGGGAGCGCCAAAGGTGATCAGGTGTAAGGTGTACCCAGCAACACTTCAAGAACAATTTTGCGGCTTTTTAGTTGATATCAGCTTTTATTTGCTATTTGTTACCAAAACAGATTTAAAATCTTCCATTCTCCTGGCTTTGACTACCCTGCTGCAGCCACAACTTTGGTCTTTATTTAAAACAATTTAAATCTTATAAAGCATTAAGTCACCTTAAGGCTTAAATGCTAAATACCAAAATTAAAACAATACTAATTTCTTTTGTTTGGAAAAAGTATTTTTTGGTTTTATATCCCCAAAACAACATCAATTTATTTTAAACTTATAAAACAAAGATTGTACACACCAGGAGTGTTCTTTAGCAAATTCGACTAACTTTTTCATAGTCAAATGATTTCACTTATATAACCTCTTGCCTGGATTATTTACAGACATTCCCAAAGGAATGGCTGCAAAGAAACCAAGAATTTTTCTTTTAACATTTGTACATAGTTTCACTGCTTAATTCCCTCTAATAACCTTAGGGCCACTCCGAGGGCACCAGAGTAATTGACCTTATTCACTTCCCTGGGGTCCATAATGGCCCCTACCTTGAGGGGTTCCAGCCCCGAAGCTATGACAGACACAAAACAACCAGAACAAGACAAAACAAAAGGGCGTCAGGTGTGTCTGTCAGCAAAAGGTTCAGATCCAGTGTGCAACTCACCCAACCCTGAGCCTACGGGCAAATCCGCCACCAGAAACCCACGATAGAGATTTCAAAAGGTCTCTTACCTTTCAGATGAGCCCTGGGTTTGGTGGGAGATTGCCCGCGGTCCTCCGGTCTGGGGGAGTCTTCTGTGGATCCCGGACGAGCCCCCAAATTGTTGTGGAAAATTGACCACACGGTTGATTTTGGATCAGACAGCCTGAGGCTCCTTTATTGATCAAATTTGCATGCATGGGGGAAGTCAGCCAAGGCAGCCGAACCGCCCCCTCCCTCCCCCGACAGATAAAATGCGAGAGATTATATAGGATAAAACCACAAAAATTACATATACTTCCTTAAAGTTTTACATCCATATAAGGGATGAAGCAAAACAAGTTTTCCTGTTTTTTCTTAGTTTTGTCTTTCGCGGTTTCTTGCTGTCACCTGACATCTATTAATTGTAGTCTGTTACAAAGGTTAATTCTACTTTTATCATTTCTACAGTTAGTTCTGCTTTTACGATTTCTGTCTGCCCTTCTCCTTTTACCACCACCACCCCCTTCTCCTTCCTCCACGCCACACATACAGTTCACTTGACCAAAGTTTAGGCCTTAGACCATTTTTCCTCCACAAGACTAACAGACGTATTGGAGCTTAAGCTTTCATGGGTGAATACCCACTTCGTCAGATGCATGATGCATGATTATATTATCTATAATCATAGATAATAAGGCCAGAAGGGACCATTGCAATCATCTAGTCTGACCTCCTGGATAACATGCCATAGCACTTCCATCCATTAATTCCTGTTTGAACTAGAGCAGATCTTTTAGAAAAATAGTTAATCTTACTTTAAAAATTGTCTGTGATGTAGAATCTACCACAATCCTTGGTAAATTGTTCCATGGCTAATTACCCTCACTGTTAAAAATGTGTGCCTTATTTCCAGTCTGAATTTTTCTAGCTTCAACTTCCAGCCATTGGTTCTTGTTCTAACTGTCTGCTAGATTGAGGAACCAGTTATCAACGTTTTGTTCCCCGTGTAGCTATTGTTTGCCCCAAGATAGACTCCCCTGACAACCTGCAAGTATGGCCTACACTCTTTGTTCCTAGATTATAGAGTTACTTGGGAGAGCCAGGTTCAATTCCTTGCTCTGTCAGAAACTGCCTGTGTGACCTTTAGCAAGCCACTTAGGGCCAGATTTTTAAAAAGTATCTAGGCACCACCTAAATCACATTGAAGTCAATGGGAGTTAGGCACCTAACTACTTCTAGATATCTGCCCCTTATGCCTCAGCTCCCCATCTGTACAATGGGGATAAAAGCACTCCCCTACTTCACAAGGGTTTTGTGTGGATAAATACATTAAAGATTGTAAGGCACTCAGATAATGGGGGCCATATGAGTACCTAAAAGAGACATAGGAAAATGGATGATCAAAATAAATGAATTTAATTTCACTTTTGTTTATAGCCAGTTTCACTGTCAGGCTAGAGAGAGGGAGCATAGTCGTAACTGACAGGCTTTTACCTTTGCACCCTCCTAATCCTGAGTTGCTGGGAAGATGGGACAAAAACACCCTCTCTCTTCTGTCAATTAGACAGCCTAGGGGCTGCTCTATGTTAATTAGATTTCCAAGGATGTCTATAGCTTACAATCAGGCTCAGAAGGATGCGATTTTTACTGATAAATGTCAATTCACCACACACAGCCAAACTGACAAAGAAATATTTCCATCAAGAATAAAGCAAAATTTACAGATGGGCAAAGAAAGAAAAATGGTGCTTGAGAACTTATTAGAGTTTGATTGAAGGATATTTATTTTATATATTTTGATATGTGATGTTGGCAATTTGTGTTTTAACAGTCATAAAACTTCAACTTTTTGAATCTTGATATTTACAGTCATTAATTATTGCCTGCCCCCCATAGTTTCCTGCAACTGTAAAAATTTTAATTGATACAAACATTTAAAATGCTTAAAATAGACATTAATATGATCTGTCAAAATTATAAAAAAAAATAAAAGCCAAGTTTTGCCAAGCCTATTAACAATATATGCTACTGCCATGCTCCCTCTCAACACCTATACTGGTACTTGCAGAAGGCAGTTTATGGAAGCCCAATACAATGCTTGCTCTGGAGGAATTTCCCCCATACCTCTGGTGGACTATTTACAGCCCCATATCCTACCTACCTTATGTAAGATCCCACACGACAAAAACATGATAGACAGACATTGGCTTCAACGGGATTACTCCTGTGAATAAGCCTTACTCACATGAGTAAAAGATGGCAGGAGTGGGCCTCAGAGGAGGAGAGAAAGACTTGCTTTTCCAACATTTGTTTCTCTGTGCTTTCGCACTGCATTACAACTACTACTCCTGGGGGAATTCTGCGCTAAAAATATTAAAAATTCTGCACCAAAAATTAAAAATTCTGCACACAATATTTTAAAATTCTGCATATTTTATTTGTTAAAATAACAATATAATCATGCTGGTTTCAATTATTTAGGTAATTTATTTAAAGTACAATACAATGGATGGAGAATGGGAGTGAGGAGCACTGGAGGAAATCCCCAAACCCCCTTGCCTAATAGTAATGTAGCAAGGTTTGACCCTTTATTTCTAGTTATTAGTCAACAAATATATGCAGCCATATGCTCAATGTTACATCATAGGCACATGAAGAGCAAGTGAGGGCTGGGGAATCAAACTCACAATTTATATTGGCTACTGACCATCTCCAGAAAAGTCAGTAGCAAACAGTTCATAGAGCACATTTTGATAAGAATTTTTTTCAGTCCAAAAATTTAGACCAGTTGTAATCAGTAAAGCACCATGTGCATTTATAAGGCCATACTGTCCTTTACACCACTCTGACTATGTAAAGGAGCCTTAAAACTTACACACCGGTTTTATACTCCTGGGGGAATTCACAAAGACAATAGGAACAATTCACTAAGTGGGCAGGCTGCTATGTTCTGCTCTTTCTGAGGGGACAGCCTGCGCCACGCCTACCTCCTCAGACACACTCTGAAGCACTGCCCCTCCATGCCAAGCATGCCGCAATAGTGAGCGAGAACAGTGTCTCTCTCTCACAACTGCCCACCCCTTCACACACACCTGGTGGTGATTTATGTCTCTATTGGCTGCTCCAGGTGCCTGAACTGACTTGCCTGTGCTGCCGGGGAGGGGTGCATGACTGCTCTTGTGGCTTCCCTTTGCTCCCCTGTCAGAAGTCATTTTTCTGCAGGGAAGAAAAGAAATCTGTGGGGGGACATGAATTCTGCACACACGCAGTGATGCAGAATTCCCCCAGGAGTGAACTACTCAGATTGGCCTAGCAAATGGGACCTCTGCAGCAGACAACAGTAACACACAAAACACACAAAAATAAATAATCATCAATTATTTACATGTCAAATGTCTACAAACAGAGATAAATACCACAAAGGTCTCATCACTACAGTGTGAGAGAAATACAGTTTCAGAATATATTTAGCAAAAGGTATCGCAGTAAAAAGCAAAAAGGGGAGGGGGGGGAAGGAAAACCATCCCTCTTGGAACTACTAGTGCCCAAGACACACTTTGAAAAAACTTCCACCCTTCTTGCAATCACCACATGTGCAAAACCCCCATGCATTACAGATGTAACTTTCCCTTGCATTCACTGGACAAGCAGCCTCTCCTTCCACCTGCACAGCATACAAGACAGCACCCCACCCTTCTTACTTGCTGTACACTCATAATACAGAATTACCTCAATTGCCACACATACAAAATGGTCATTTGCATCCACAAACCAGGCAGTTACACACCCAACTCGCCACAAATCACAAGG